TAGAAAAAAGATTACATGGGGGTGGGGGTAGGGAAAATGGTCAGTGTTTCTTTTACGTGTCTGACTAGAAAAAAGATTACATGGGGGTTGGAGGTGTCAAATATTTGACTGTATATGGGGTAGGGGTTGGGGGAGAGTTTCTGATGAAGAAAAAAATCCATGGGGAGGGTTGAGTAGGATTTGGTTCATATGCTAATGTAGTTACATATAATCATAAGTTTCAGGTGAAGCTACCTCAGTACCCGAATGGCTCAAGTTCCTCGGCATGAGTCAATATGAACCTGAATTCATGAACAATGGATTTGATAATCTTGGATTCCTTGTGAGTATCTTCTGTTTTTTTTTTTTTTGTTTGCTGAAATAGAGCCCTGTTATTCTTACTGCACCTGTTCAACAAAATGGCGGTCGTTCAACAAAATGGCAGTATTTTGTGGAGCATGAGCAGTACATCTTAGAATGATAGCGCTTGGCAATTGAGACTAAAGAAGATGTATCCAACACGTACTTTATGTTCTTGTAGAATGGAGGTGTGCTTGCAGATTTGGATCTGGACGAAATAGGAGTGAATGATCCTGCCGACAGAAAGTAAGTTTAGGGGAAGTTTTCTTCATAGTCTAGAGTGCGAGTTTGTTCCTCCCCAGTCTTCTTGGGTGATTATATTGTACCCAGTCCCCTAAAGGCTTTATCACATATATTTGTACCCAGTCTCCCAATAAGTATTTGTTACTCTAAAAGCATTGGTAGTGGGGTTGGAGTGTGAGTAGACATTGTAAACCAGCATATAGTGAAAATACAGTTTGTTGAGTGGTGCTGGTGTGTATTGAAGTGTGTGGATTTTAAAACAATTAAAAGTATATTATTGATATATTGTTTATCTTACCAGAATTATCCTTGAGGCTGTGAAATCCCTCCCCACCCCTCCCCGTGTGGCAAAGCTACCCAGTCCTCCCTCAACAGTGGAGGAATGGCTTGCATCTCTCTGCCTGTCTGAATACCTGGTTACGTTGTTACATCATGGGTATACAACAATGGATCGAGTCAAGCAGATGTGGGAGGTTGAACTCACTTCAGTAAGTAAACTGCTGCTAGTTAGTTTTAACTGCTCATTCATATCTTCATACTTTAGTTTACAGTCTCTCTGTGATCTGTAAATCGCATAATGCGTGGGGTCTGGGTTCCTGAATAAAAAATATAAAAACTTTAAGCTTCACATGAGCCGAACCTAATTGAAACAACGGATAACAAAGCGGTCTTCTTCAATGTCATTAGGTTAGGCTCGTGAAGTTCGACGTTTGACATACAGCCTAAGTCGTTCATGCTTGTGTACTATGTATATGTCTAAGGAGGATATTTTGGCTCCAATCTTAATTTATTTGATGATGAATATTTCCAAACCTCAGGTCCTCGAGATAAACCTTATTGGACACAGAAACCGTATCCTGGCATCGTTAGTTGAGCCACGAAGAATGACTCTCGCGAGAAAATCAAGAAAAAGTGAGGTAAGACTGCGGTTATTCATGCACGGTTTTAGAACACAGTTTGGCTTTAGTTTGACGTTCTTTTTTCGAGAGCCTGCAATCTAGATTTATTGATTTAATTCTTTTTAAGGTTTATGATTCGAGAGGAAATTTTGGTTTAGACGAGAAAGTAGCAGAACTAGATGTCTACTGCCCTAACGAAGAACAGCCTACAGGAGTATCAGCCAAAGTAGACGCGGATATGTTAATGAAAATAGCAGAAGAAATGGTACATGACGAGGTAAGTGACGTAGTGACGTCAGTTTGTTCACAGTGATACGTGACGTAACAGTGACGTCATTTTCACACAAACGATAAACCAATTACTGAAACAATTCTTTTGCCCATTAAAAGTTTTTGAGATTTTTTGATTTTTTAGAATTTGAAGAAAAAAGCTGAAAAAATGAAACGAGAAAACCGGTGGCGACATGAACCGGCAGTCCTACTTAAAGGATCTGTTAATTACTCGGCGCAGGTAAAATACTAACCAATAACGTACCGCGTTATAACGTTAACCAATAGGAAAGTGTCTTATGAGTAACCAATAAAAATCCAGCAATGCTGAGCATGCGCTATGGTTGTTTTTACAGTACCTTGGTTCACAGACAGTAAGAGAAATCGTAGGAGTATCATCAACTGTTGAAGCCAGTCGGAAGATGAGGGTACGTTCAATGTAGCTGGTGTTCCTGGTGTTAGATGATGTCATCAAGGGCGGATCCAGGGGGGGGGGGCAAAGAGGGACTGAAGCCCCCTCTTCAGCAGAAAAAACAAAACTGAAGAATTAGATGCTTTTTCTTTTTTGTTTTCCGTTGTGTTGACGGAAGAAAATCGATTAGCCCCCCCTAAACTCAATTAGTCCCCCCCCCTAAAATTTTGGCTGGATCCGCCCTTGGTCATGTCGTGATAACAGCACTTATTCTTTCTTGTAGATGTCAACGGCCAAGTTACAAAAGATCCCGTCTGTAATCCTTGCTGTTTCTGTTAATGGAATTAAATTCATTGATGCAAGAACAAAGGTATGCTACTGTAAGTTTGAAGATGATGCAGATTATGATTGATGGTGATGATGTTGATGTTGATGTTGATGTCGATAATAATGGTAATGATGATGTTGAAATGATAATGATGAATGATAATGATGATGTTGATGAAGGTGAAGAAGATGATGATGATGCAGATTATGATTGATGGTGATGATGTTGATGTTGATGTCGATAATAATGGTAATGATGTCCAAATGATAATAACGATGAATGGTGATGATGATATTGGTGAAGATGATGATGATAATGATGCGGATAATGATGATGAATGATAATGATGGTGATGATGATCATGATGATTGTTGATGGTAATAATGATGGTGATGACAATTGTGTCGATGATGATATTGATGATGATATTGATGACAATGGCCGGGATGGTGATGATGGTCATATTCCTAGTCATTTCCATAACAAACATGCCCAATAATGATGCGCTACCTGTTTCTATTCAGTGGTGATTGTAGTCAAAATCTTAGTTCTGATCAGTCATCGCAGCAAATGCCATTTCTTTTGTGTTTTTTCAGTTCGTTGTAAGCAACCATCAAATGTGTAACGTGTCGTACATCACTCAAGATCCTGAAGATAAGCGCGTGTTTGCTTACATCGCTAAAGATGCTAAAGTCAACAAGCACTACTGTCACGTGTTTCGCGTGGATCAGACGGTAAATACTTGACTTGTCTAACAGCTTATTATAGGGCTGGGATGCTTAACCTCGGGTTAGTAGGAACGTTGATTTCACATTAATTTTATATATTATAATTTTAGCAACTTTCTGATGAAATTACTATGACCATTGGACAAGCATTCGAGGTGAGATTAAAAATGTCATTACTACTACCATGATGACACCATCATCAGCAACATATATCCTAGCATTAACAACATATACTAACACCATCTATTTTTTACACCAGCTTGCATACGAACAGTTTATGCAGATACAGGATTATCTGCGCAAGAATAAACATCAAAGATGAAAGGTCGTAGCTTCTAAATGACGTCACTAGTACATCACTGCTGCCAGTGCTTGCAATAACGTCATCAAAACATTTCCTTAAGACTTCTAGAAGAAATTTATCGTGATTCGAAGTTTGAAGAGAGGACTGGAAACTACAGACGTCACCATATAATTCGTGCCCAGTGCTTCTCAAGATTATTTGAAGAGAAGAGCCCGGGTCCAATAGGAAATGCCAGCAATTGATTCTTATATAGAAATGATGTGAACTTTATCAATTAGAAATTCGAGGGGGAAACCAGGGGGTGGCCAGCCACTCTTCTCCGTTGGGATTCAAAATAGAATAACAAATGCCTTCTGTATAACAGCCACCCTCCATGAATTCAGCAGGGAACCACAGCTAAAATGACCATAAATTGATCAACAATTGAAAATATCCCTAGTTTTTGTCTTGTTGACGAATAATGGTTTTGTAAAATCGTATATAAAAATTAAAAAAATCATTTTTAATTAAATAAATGTATTTTCACTAGTCTAGGGTAACGTACTGCATATAAATGTTTTATTATTATCTGGTCAGACCGGGTATCAGCCGTATTTGTAACTTAATTAATTCCTATGTAAAGCTTTGAAAATGTGATTCCATTAATTATTATAATATATTTTATAAATATTTACATCCTACTACTTTTCATACTCACATACTGCGGATATCACTGTGTGTTTATTGTGAAATCTAAATTTTGGTGGAGGCTATATTTCTTTTTGAGTTCTGTTTTGTAATGTGTCGTTTTTTTAGCTGTGCTTTTCGTTTACAATCTTTCCTTCTTGCATTTTCAAAATAGTATAGGCAAATGGAGAAAAAAAGTTTGCATAAACTTGGTTCCAGCCAATTATTTTGCGGGCCATACGCTTGTATCTAATCATAAAATGCTACTAATATTGTCAACAGAAAATGTTTTTATCGTATTTTTGAAAACTCGATTTATCTTTAATAAAAATACCTCAATGGAAATGGAAAGTATTTGTGATTACTTGACTGGGATTCCTGTGGCATGACGTCACAACTATTTCGACCAATCACGGATGCAATTTGACGTGACGTCACTCAGGGGTACGAGAGATGGCGTCGGCAGAAAGCGGTTGATTTGTTTTTTTCAACTCGGAAAAAATTCTTAAAATTAGCAATTCCTCTTTATTACATCGAATATGAGTTAGAAAACAGTCTGTTTAACGTCTTCTTCATCATGGAAAGTCTCAAATATTTTACTATGAACCTAGTTCCAGAATTTTAGCATATCTTGACATTTGAAAGTGGAAAAAATCTTGTCGGTTTCAACTCTACAAGAGCTGGAAGTTTACACTTGCATTATTTGCTTTTTAAAAAGAAAGTATTTTTTCCCCATCAAGATTACGTTTTTTTGAAGTCCGAACATAATAATTAGGAGTCAGATCCTGGAATAAAGTGACAATGGTAGCTATTAACTCAAGCAACGCTACGATAAGTAATGACCACCCCGAAGGACACAGCTCACCTTATGCTATCTTATTCATCTTCACTGTTTGTGCAATTGGAGGTAAAATCGTTTTTTCCTTTACTCAATTTAAGACTAAGTTTTTAACAAAAAATTATTTTATAACTTACAATTTCTTCTGCATGAATTCCTGAATAAACTTAGCATTTTGTTAGCTATAGTAAGCTCCATTTTATTAAATGTAATGGCTGTTCAAGCCAAACTTTGGCAAATGTTTCTAGAAAAATAATTGAAGATTGATATAAACTAGACTAATCTACTTCTGTCGAGAAACATATGCTATACCCTTGAGCTTTAGCCGATTTTTAATTGGAAAAATTGCAGAATAAAAAGGACTCTCTTCGTGGCACTTGGGAAATTTATCGTAGGAAATAATTTACAATCTTACGTTTTGTGTAAAAATTTACAAAATCAGTAATGTCTCGTTCCTAGCGTAAACACCGATACTTTTGCCACAACTTGAAAGCCAATCACATATTATAATGTTATTTATTAGTTATTAATTAATGTATTATGGCAGCCATTGTGCGACAAGTAATGAAGAGATGGCCCATCCCTTACACAGTGGTCTTGATTGTGCTGGGAGCTTGTTTTGGTGCTGTATCAGGAACCTTTCCAGAAGTCAGTGTGTAAGTTGAAACAATATTTAACAATACAAAAAATATCAAAACGAATACCAATGTGAAAGTTGTTGTTGCGCTGGTTACTTCTAGATACACCACCATGGCTAGCCAAGACCCACACTTGATCCTGACCACATTCCTTCCAGTTCTTCTTTTTGAGTCGGCCTTTGCTATGGACGTTCACATATTCTACAAACTCTTCTGGCAAATCATTATCTTAGCAGTATTCGGCCTGGCCATTTCTACTGCTCTGACTGGTGTGATGGCGAAGATGGTCTTCACATACGACTGGTCTTGGTTTCCATCTCTCATGTTTGGAGCCATCATTAGTGCTACTGATCCTGTTGCAGTTGTAGCACTACTTAATGAATTAGGTCGGTATTACTCTTAGATATGGACATTTATAAAGGGTTGCGTTTAAACTAACAGTTAATACCATAATTAGGGGCATCAAAACAGCTTGGTACTATCATCGAAGGAGAATCCTTGCTCAACGATGGCATGGCGATCGTATTGTACAAGATCTTTTTTAATCTGTCTTTCAAATCCATGACAGGTAAAATAATAATATTTAATGTGACATTAACCCAAAATAATTGAAAGAGTCTTGCAGATTTGTAGCAGAAGCCTTAATGATTATTTTCTGGTATCTATAGCAACTGAGATCGGGTTATATTTCCCACGCGTCGCTATTGGTGGATTTTTCTTTGGTCTTGTGGTTGGTAAGATCACTGTCTTCTGGCTTCAACACGTCTTCAACGATGCTCTAGTGGAGATCACCATCACACTAGCCTCTACCTACTTGACCTTCTACATCGGTGAGGAGGTTCTGGGTATCTCGGGTGTACTTGCTGTAGTTATGCTTGGAATTGAGATCAACTCACAGAAATCCAGTATTAGCCCTGAAGTGGAAGTCTTTCTACACAGGTTAGAAACAATGAAATTCTACAATACATTGCCCATCAACCAACCAATTAATCAATCAACTTTTGTTAGGAAAAAGAAAATGAACATTGCAAACATTGCAAAACGATTTAACTTCAAAGAATAGCCGTGCCATCCGAATTTAAAATATCTTTTCCCCTACCCTCGTACCGGATTACCAAGACTCCCCCTTTACAAATATATTCCCAACCAAATACTTTTTTTACTTCATACTTTTACAGGTTTTGGGAGATGCTGGCTTATCTTGCCAACACCCTGATCTTCACAATGGTAGGCGTGGTGATCATGGAGAAATCACTGAATAGTCTGGAGAGCAATGATTTGTTTCTCATAGTTGTAGACTACTTGGGAATCGTAGTAATCAGGTATGGCTATTTTCAACATAAATCGCAAACGACATGGCTAGTTCATTGTTGTAAGATAACTGTTATAAATGTCGCGTTCTGATTGGTTGGGAGCGCATGATTTATGAGAGCATACATCACGCGCGCACCTAAAGTACTTTTCTTTCCAAAATAACGGTTATTGTAATTTGTATTTTATGAAAGAATAAAAAAAACTTGCTTCCTGTGCTGTGTGCCACTACGCGTCGTCCTTCTTAACACTTTTCTCCTGTCCTGTCAATCGCCACGTTCTTTATAACTTAACACAGCACGCGCGCGGGTTTTCTATTTCTTCAATAGTTCATATCTTGTATTGTGCTTACAGATCCCTGGTTATCGCGTTCTTTGCTCCTATTCTAATGAACATTGGCTATGGCTTTACATGGCAGACAGCTGTAGTGGTCAGTTGGGGTGGTTTACGAGGAGCGGTTGGTTTGGCTTTAGCTCTGCAAGTCTACATCGATCATGCTGAAATAGGAAACAAGGTAATAGTCCCATACTTCATCCAAATGTTGTTCAACATTCTTTTACCACTATTTTCATAAACATGCGAACTCTATAGTTTCGAGATGCGCTGAAATTTGATTTTTCGCTGCCACCAGTCAAAAATAAGAAGAGTTACCGACTGATGACACAAGTAAAAAACGTCTGCGCATGCTCTGAATCCATATGTGAATTAATCAAAACATATGTAAATTTGACTTTCAAACATGCCTAAGTAATTGGACTTCACAAAATGCCAAAACTTAGTGTCCATGCTTGAAACTTAAGGCTAATTCTTTTATATTGTGTTTGTTAATACAGTATCTTGGTCTAACAAAAGTATACTCTCGAACGTTTTTGTATACTTGGAGAAAACAAACATTTATTTTCTCACTCAAACTCTTCTAAATTCTTAGAAAACGTGCTGAAATGCACGCATGCGCAAACGTTTTTCTCTAGTGTCCCGACTGATTTTTATTTTTGATTGACGACAGCGAAAAAAAATTCAGCTTGCGCATGTTTAAGTTCAAAATTGAGTTCCCCAATTGTTCTCCAGATTTTAGTTCACACTGCTGGTATCTGTCTAATCACTTTACTCGTCAACGCAACCACCATGGAGAAACTACTCGACATGCTGGGGATGAGCGAGATCTCAGACTCCAAGAAGATTGCCATGAGTAATGGTGTACGACGCATCAAAGAAAGTAATGCCAGCACACTTACCATGCTCAAGGCTGACCGCTTCCTGGCCGATGCTGACTGGGCTATGGCTGAGACGTTCTGTGAACTGAGAAACCCTTATGTAGAGATGGATAGTGAAGGAGAGGTATGACATAGAGATAACTGGCTAATATATTGGTACTAATACCGAAATATAAAGTCGATGGCACGTTGATATAGAATCAATATTGACATCAGGACAACCTTTCTTTTTGTTTTTACAGTATGATGACTCCGAAACTGAAACGTTAGTACGCCACAGCACATGTCCAAACTGCGAAACAAGCGTACCAAACGAACCTTCCCCTAAAGAGTTTGCAGAAATGGCTGAAGACGGGCGTGTGCGTATGATCAAAGCTCAAAAAGTGAGCTACTGGAAGCAGTTTGAACACGGGATGCTGTCACGTGATGCGGTGCAGGCGCTTAATAACCTTGCAGACACTGTTTCTGACACGCCCAACAGGTAGGTACATAGCACGCTGTAAGCCTTGTAGTATTCATTCAACCTACCAACATCAACTAAGAAATACCTATTGTTTATTTGTTAACAGAATCGTTCTGGCAGAAGACCTTAGTCCATTCTGGAAAGTTCCAAGCTACTGGCGAAAAGTGGTAAGTAGCTACAGCAGGTTTCATAAATGAATTATTCATTGGACCAATCACTGCGCGCGATATTACTACTTTTTCTAGTAAGCTAATCAGAAGTGTCGTTCGACCAGAGCACCGCCACCCGGTTGGCTCAGTTGGTAAAAGCGTCGGTTTATTGTGCGTGAGGTCGTGGTTCAAGCCTCGGCAGGACCAATGTTCAGGGTCTTAAAATAACTGAGAAGGTGCTGCCTTTGAAATAATATCTGCAAATGGTTAGACCTTCAAGTGTTCTCGGATAAGTACATCAACCCGTAGGTCCCGTCTGCATTCACTCACTGCTAATCTGCCGGTATGCCGGTGGTTGTTAAAGAGCCCATTGTGCTGTTCGCAAGAGTAGTGGATTGACGCCCGGTTCAACGGTCTGATCTCAGAGGCACACTAATATCGATGCTCATTCATAATTGTCAACTGCTTGGCAGCAATATGCACGTGACAGGAGTCCGTTTCAGTCTTCCAAAACTGTTGTCAGTCTCAGTTGTTCCCTTCCCAAACCGTTCATGGTCACGGCGCACGTGTCTATGGTCCCGTAGTGAATGGTATTCAAACGAATCTCATATCTGAGTCATCTCTATCATTGTTAACTTTTTTCCTGGTATACAGAGACAAAAGCTAGAAAATCTGAAGCAAACCAAGGATTACGAGCTGGATATCTCGCCAGATAATCGCGTACAGTACTTTATGTACAAAGTGGCCATGCATGTGATGTTTGATGCTATCATCAATGTCCTCATCATCATTAATATGATTCCTATCATCATCGAGTTGACAGCTGATGCTGATGCTCCTTATATTGGTACACTGGAGATTATTAACTATGTGTACTGCTGTATCTACTCGATAGAAGCAATATGGAAGGTATGACGATAGAATGCACAAGCAAATTTTACTATAATAACTACTACTGCTGCTGCTACTACT